TGGGGAGTCCCTCCCGGACGCCCGCCAGCTTGGACAAATGGCACTGCGAGTCCACGCTCAGCAGCGGTGAGGGCCCGGCGCCGCGACCCCCGCCTCCCGCCCCGACTGCCCTGAGCTCCCCTGCCAGGACAGCCACCGCCTCTCCCCACCTCTCCGTGCCCCTGCCCTGGTCCATCTACCCCATCCCGGCGGCCCATCCCGACTTCCCGGGCTCCAGCCACCTCCCTGGCATCCGCCTCTCTCCCCTCTTCATTCCCTGTCGCTAAACCTAAAGCGACGTCCCACGCCCTCTTCCCCCTCCCGTGGCCATCCTCGGGCTCTGGAGTAACACGTATTCTATTTTGGGTAATTGTTATCGTTTAAGGCGCGAACCATGTGGTTTTGTAAAAAATGCGACGCCTTCCACACCTCCGTTAAAAAAGAAACAGGCAAAACGCCCCAACTTCACCAAGATGCTCTGGGTTCTCTTTCCTCTCTCGCCTCTCTCAAGGAGGAATTTGCCTGAGTTTACCTTTTATTTCTCAGGTTTTTGCCTGTTCTGCAGCGCCTTTTTTGGATTTTCCCCCGATAAGTTTTGGATTTGGATTTGATTTCAGAGTTGAGACAGAGGCTGAATTTTGTTTCCTTTTTTGGTGGCACCGTCGTTAGTTGTGAGTTGCCCTTTAATTCTCCCCCACTCTAGTAACTCCTCTTTCCTCCAGACGTTTCCCTTTACTTACTCACAGATGCCTGGAAAGTTGTGTTTTATTCGGTCAGCACAGAAAGCTGTTAATGGATGGGAATAGATGGGGTTCGTGAGTAGAGAAAAAGGGAGCCAGCCACTGGGCCACCAGCCCCAGGAGGACTTCAGTTTCACTCCTTTTCTGACTGCCTGCTTGCCTCCCCCAGAGCCCCAGTTACTGCTTTAGCAGAAATCTGCCAACTTCCGATTTCTTGTAGCAAACCCCTTCCCTTCTGATCTTGATTCTTCTACTGCTGGTGTCAGCGCAGAGAAAGGGGATTTTCTACACACGCACACGCACACCTGAGAAACTCATTAAATTCCTTCGTGACAGTTATATGTCTTCTCTGGCACTATTTTTAAAGCTTTACTGGAAACGTTTCAAGTTCCAACAAAGTTGAAATAGTACAAAAAGCCACGAGAATCTGATGTTCCTTCATTTCTCTCTCTCTCTCTCTCTCTCTCTCTCTCTCTCTCTGTGTGTGTGTGTGTGTGTGTGTGTGTGTGTGTGTTATGAGAGATTAGTTCACTTGGTTAAGTTTCTTCCATAAATTTAATTGCATATGCACAAAAGTCTTTTTCTTTGATATTACCTGGAAATTCCCATTGCAGGGTTCGCCTTTGTTGATTAATTCACTGTGGAGGGAACTGGTTGGCAGCAGGAGGTCAACATTTAGGTTCTTTTCATTCTTTCAGGGTTGGTTGTTTACAACTAAAGATAAAATAAATTGGTAAAATGCCTTTCTTCAGTAACCAGGGGATCCAAATAAACTTTGGAGAAAATATCTTTTCTTTTCCCTTCTCAAAAGAAATGGAAATTTATGTAGGAATGCCAGCTTCAGCATGTCTCCTTAGCAACGTGAATCTTTTGCCCCTTTCTCTCAGTCTTTTGAAATAATAGTCCCCTGATTGCATAAAGACTTTCCAGATAGATTAGAGAAACCAGCTTCAACTCCCATTTGCTTTTCAGGCCAGTATCCTTTTCTCCTGGCGGGGAATGTAGGCGGTGGGGATGAAGCCCGCTCGAGTTTGTTGAGCAGTATGCTTTGTTTGCTAATCTTTCCTTAATTACCTCCATACCCATTTATTGCACTCTTTTCCCCTCTAGGCAAGGAAATAGGGAGGCACACAGGCTTAATGCAAATATAGTGGTAACTGTGGCAGGCCTGGTTTCTGATGCCTGCTCCCAACCTTTGATTC